TCCAGCACAGGTTTCCTGTCATGGAATACTATACCTGGGGCCCTTTCCCCTCATCCGTTTTATTTTACTCTCTGTATATGTTGGCCCCCAGGCCAGCAGTAAGATTGTGAGGGATAAAAGTAGTGAGAGGGAAGTGAGAAGGCATTTCTCTTCCTCTTTCATAATGAAGAACAGCAACTGCTTGCAGCATGAGATGGTGCAGATGGGGGAGAAAAATGTTTTTTCTCCCAGGTTTTTCCCTCTGTGTAGCTCATTCTTTCCAGAGTACTTCCCTACCCTTCCTTATAGAGTGAGCCTATGCTCTATACACCAGCAAACATTTTGTTAGCATGGGTGCTGTGCACACTCCTTCTTCCCCTGTGGCCTTTGTGTCCTTTCTCGCTGTCATAGCTGTCCTTCATGACCTCAAATATTTGCACCGATTTTTCCAAGGGGGCAGTGGTATCTGACTGTGCCTGAGGTGTGCTGTCTCCCTCTCTCCAGTTTAAGTATGTGAAGTAGCTGAATAGTCGGAGGTACTTTGTGCAGGCCTGACTTGGAAATGTAATTTTAATTCCAGCCACGAGGGGACCTTCATAGTTTATTGTCTCTTTCCTGCAGGTTCGTCTGATCCATACTCTTAGATCAGTTACAGTTTTGCTTCTTCTTAGCTAAAAAGATAGTCTCTCTTTTTTTTTTTCTTTTTAATATGGCTTTCCTTTATTAGATGCCCAGAGTTTATATCAAAAATATATAAATGTCTTGCATAGAGCAATTTGGTAAATAGCTTACAAAAATGAATCCCAAAAATAAAGAGCTCCCACTTACTGCAGCAAATGTTTTCACATCATATGACCTGTGTTTGGAGTTTCATTCTCCTCTTGCATGTGGCAGCTGTGTACTTGCATAATTTGATCTGGTAGCGTTTGTATGACAAAAAGAGGATGTGACTGTAACATGCACTAACTTGCTCACTTTGTCTAATGAGCAGCAAAGACAGAACTACTGAAACACGCAGCCAGGGTGCCCAGCCCCTTTGGAGCTGGTGAGGAGCCACTGGAGCCGCCTGCTGTCCCCTCTGCTGCTCCTCTGCCAGCTCCACCGGGCTGGCCACGCCACCGGCTGCTCTGCTCCCACCTCGGCTGGGCAGAGAAGCGACATCCCCGGGCAGAGCTGCTCCTGACACCACTCCTGAGAGGCGGGCAGCTCACCCACCGCTTTCCCCCTCGGCTTCCCAGGAACAGATGTGCTCTCAGCCACGGAGGGGGAACTCTGCCTCAGGCATGAATGGCTATGGGAGAGTTGGGATCTTCCCTTAGGGACAGTCAGCACTCGGGCCACATGCTTTTCTTCCAGTTCTGGAAAAAGGGCCTTTCTATACAAAAACACACCCAACTCCTTTTGTCCTCAGCTATATCCTGAAAGAGATATGGTAACTACGAAGAAATGCTTGTGTTTGTTGCATCCAAGAGAGACTTGTGAATCGCAGCTCCCAAGTACTTCTCAGGCATTCCGAGGTAATGCCCAGCACAGAATTGAAGAAGGTGGCATTTCTCAGCTGTCGTGCTCTAAGGTCTCCGAGAAATCTCATGTGGGCAGTAAACAATTGTGTATGTATTACACAAGCTAAGTTAAACCCAAGGCTCTCCTCTAGATCATATTTAAACTGTTGACTTAATGAAATCTTTCTAATTTAGAAATGTCTGTCGCATCTTTGCCTCTGTATCGTCAAGGCTTAGACACCCTATGGGATTGCAAACTGAAAGGAAGTAGAAATAAGCAATATGTTAATGATAACAGTGTTTAGAAAAGGATTTCATGGGAATGAAATAGACTTTTATTTTTGCCAATATAAATAAAGGCAGAAAGCTGTATTTGTAGCAGGCGTGTGTGAAATGTGAAACCCTGGCAGTGTGCAGCAGTACCGATATGAGCCAGAATGACTGTGATAAGCAAAATGTTTCACCCCTGGAGGTGGGAACGTGATCTGGCGGTTACAGCAGCACAGAGCAAATTTGAAGCTCCCTGCTCCTGCCCCTGACTAACTATATGCATATACAGTCACTAATTGGAGGTAGTCAACTCGTGGACTGTCTATCAGTCCACCCATCTGTACAACAGGGATGTATTTATCTGTATCTTATCAGAGCCAACTCTTGGCAAGCATCACCAGTGGATGCGGGCAGCCCTGTCCTGTCAGGAATGCAGGATTTCACAAGTGAAAAGTGTAAGTCACTAGCGCTTTGTCAGGACACAGTGTACCATTCCATTTGTTAAAACAGCTGTACACTTACAAGGAAATGCGGTGATACTAACTGAAGAATCTCTTTATTCTCTGGGTAGCTTTGAAAGATTTTGAGCTAAATCTTATGCAAACTTCAGAGATCAATAGCTCTCTAGAGCAGATGTGCTATAAATGAGGTCAATTAAACCTACCTAACCTGATCCAAGCAATCATCACAAATCAATATTATAAAAGGACAATTTTTATACATGTATTTATTAGAATGATAATGTATTGCATGTTTTTGCTTCTATCTTCATTAGCTGAAAGTCAAATCTCTTAAGTGATATCCTATAACTGAACTGAGCTGGTAGTCCCAGAACCGTTGCCAAGGTTAAGGTTTCCTAAATAAGGTTTCCTAATCATAGACCACACATAAACTTGTAATTGCAGAATCAGCGGACAGAGCAATTGCTAAAGGAGACTGGAAACTGAAATGTCCTTCCACACGCAGCAGGGCTCGCCTCAAGGGTTCCTGTTTGCCTTGCGAAAGCTCACACGTAACCCCTCTTCTGTGAATAAATATATTTTTCCATCTTGCTTATCTACAGACAGAAGCTGCCACAGTGACGTAGAAGGCTTACATGGGTCCAACGTGTGTGTGTATAATCTTGAATACCCATTTAAAACCGCCCTCTGCAATTTCTGCTCTATCTAGAAATTTATTACTGTGAGTCTTCTTATAAAACCATCAATTATAAAATCATGCTTTTCATTAAAATGTTATGACTCTAGGTATATATTAGGTCTAATAAATTTTCATGTTTTGAGACTGCCTTTCTGCTACATGAAATTTGAAACTAATTGCAAAATTAATAATAAAAGCAGTGACTATCTTCTTTCAGAAAGAATGTAAATCCATTACCGTCTACCATGAAGGAAAACCCTTCTACAGGTGCTTTGATGTTCTCACTGCCTGTTGGAGAAAAGTTGCACTGCCAACCATTTTACTGTGCACTTCACAGGTTGTGTTTTCACATAATTCGGCGGCAGCTGTCAGCCCTGCCTCCCCCATCATATACATCTTGGGAGAACTCCCACAATGGCTTCTGCACAAAACTAAGTTCAGCACAAGGCTTGGCCATTTAAGCTGAAAATCTGGACTGCCCAAATTCCTGTCTAGGCACCACCTAGTTCCAGAAAAGTGTCCAAAGATGAATGATTATTTATGAAGTTTCCCAGCTGCCTTTCTGTCTGCTCCTGAGCATTCACAAGCTGTGGGCCCTGTGTGAAGCACAACAGCCTCCCCAGGAGAAGGCATGTTTTGTGGTGCCTTTTGGAACAGGCTTTTTCAAAGATAACCTGCAAGATCAGGCTGTAAAATAATCAACTGCAGCCAAATAATCTGACCGAATTACAAGACAGGTTACCAAATAATTTATAGCATCACCGGAGGGAGGAGTCCCTGCCGTGGCCCGGGCTGTGGAGCTCCACAGCCCCCTCTGCAAGGAGCTCCCAGCCCAAGCACCAGGCAAGAGAGAGCAGATGGTGAGAAACAGATGGGAAAGTACAAGGAAACAATGAGATAAATGAGCAAAAAACTCAGCTGAAGACTTTAGCATTTGGTTCCAAAATTATTAATTTTAGTAATCATTTCAGCTGATGCAACCCTACGGTAGAACGCCTTTCCTGTTCCAAAGGTCTTAATAGCTACAATTCCAACACATGCCACATCCCAGCACGGGTTACATTTTAGGTAAAGAGTGGGAGTTAAACAGGCAAGAAGTACCAAGGCAGGGGGTGTCAAACGCTGAAATTGGTTCGTAAAGGGGGCTGGGGTATCGCAGCAACCGGCGGCTTAAGGCAACCCTATTGTGAGGCGCTGACTGACAGACAGCTCGGGCTTCCCGGGAGGCCGGCGCTCCCCACGCCGCTGTCCCACGCCGCTCGCAGCCGGCCGGCGATGCTACAGCGAGGCGTGGGGAGCCGCAGCGGGGCCGGGGCAGCGCCCCCAGCCGCTGGCACCGCTGCTGGCGCTCACGCAAGGTCAGCTGCTCCCCGCGGGCTGGTGACAGCCCAGCCACACCGCCGCCCCCGCGGCGTGCGCGGAGCCACGCCAGGATGCCGCGGAGGCCTGGAGGCGCCCCGCGGTGTCAGCGCGCTCCGAGGAGACGGTCACACACAGACCTCAGCCCGCCACCGCAGCCCTGAGCGGGTGGAGATGCCCAGGGCGGGTCAAAGGGCACGTCCCTCGCCTCCCCGGCCGGGGGTGGGCTGTGGGGCCGCACCGCCCCTCCGGCCCGCGGGCGGCCGGGGCGCGCCGCGCTGCGCAGCCGCCGTGCCCGGGGAGCCGCGGCCCGGCGAGGGGCGGCGGGGCGGAGGTAAGGCGGGCGCGGGGCGCCACACCCGGGCGGGCACCGGGACACCCCCAGGCCGCTCCCCGGGGACCGCCGCAGGCAAAGCGAAACCAAAAGGGTGGTGGGGGTGGCGGCGGGAAGGGGCGGGCAGGGGCTGCCGCGGCTCGGCTCGGCTCGCTCCTCCCCTCAGCGCCGAGGCGGAGCGGGGCGGCGGCGGCGGGCGGGCGAGCGGGCGGGCTCAGCGCGCCCCCATGGCCCTGGCGCTGGGTCAGCGGGCACGGTAGCAGCCTCCGGCTGTCGCCGCGGGTGACTCAGAACTGCCCGGGCAGGGCGGGCTGGAGATGCGCCTCTCCGCCGGGCTGCGGGCAGCCGCGGGAGACTGACTGAACCACAAAGAAGTTTTCCTGGCGGTGGCGGCGGCGGCGGCGCGGAGCTCCCTCATGCACGCCTCCGGCCGCCGGTCCTGGAGCGCTGCTCGGCAGGCGCCCGGCGCCGACCCCGCCATGGAGCCCCGCGCGGGGCTGCACAGCAGCCCGGAGCTCAGCCGGGCCAAGCGGCTCACCGTGGGGGAGCTCTGCTCCCTCTTCGAAGCTCGCTGCGCCGCCGTCGCCGCCGCCGCCGCCCGTCAGCTGCCCGACCGGCCGAAGAGGGGCTGCCGACCCCCGAACGGGGTTCTGCCGCCCGTCATCCCGCGGCTCACCGTCACCGCCGAGGAGAGCGAGGAGGCGCAGGGCAGCCCCCAGGCGCGGCCGGCGCGGCCGGAGGGCGGCGGGCTGAGGACGGGCAGCTCGCTGCACCTGCAGTCCCGCAGGCTGTCCAACTCCTCGGTCTCCTCCACCGGCTCCTCGTCCCTCCTGGAGGACTCGGAGGACGACGTGCTGAGCGACACGGAGTGTAGGAGCCAAGGCATCGTGCACTTGGAGCACGGCGAGGACACCAGCCAGGTAGGGGCGCGGGGTGAGCGGCTCGCCCGGGACGCGCTGCCCCCTCCCCGGGCCGTCCTGGCCGGGCAGCCGGGCGCCTCCCGGGCTCGCCAGGGGCCAGCAGATGCTCCCGCCTGGAGTGGGGTTTCCGTGACCCAACTCCACGCAAACTCCGGGAAACTCCTGTCCTGGGCCGGCAGCAGTGCGCTGCCGTGCACAGGCTGCTGCGCCTTTTGGAAAAGCGCTTCTGCACGTGGGCTCCTCAAAAACCCGGCCAGGTGTGCGTTGTTTCTTTCTGCTGTGGAATTGTACTTTATGTCCCAAAAAATACGGGGAGATGTTTTTTGATCATAAGTGGGTTGTTTTTTTCTTTTTTCCAGTCTCCCGTGTCAGATGCTCAAAATAAAATTTTTCCAGGCATTTCCCAGCAGGTATTTTTTGTCTCTTTCAGCCCTGGAGTCTGTGGTTGTCAATTTTTGAGCCGCTTCTTGCTGTGAGCATGACAGGAGATGGGGAGGAGCTTGGAATGGATAGAATGCATGCTTTTGTCCATTCTGGCAGCAGCACATTCTTCTCAGTAAATCCCCTTTGTAATTTGGCAGCTTTCATCCGTGAAGTGCACTTTTGAAGGCATATAGTTAGTTGCTCTTTCATGTTTTCTTTGATGTATATTTGCCTGACTCCATATAGCGTGCTTCTCAAGCTTTTGTACCTGAAAAATGTAGCTTTAGTGAATTTTCCCTCCCACCTTCATTGATACTGCTGCTTAAATTGTTGTTCTACTGCCAACTCATTGGTGCTGAATTGTTTTCAAGCAGAACATATGCTTTTATAAAAAAGGTATAAAGAGGAAGTAATGCAACTTGTAGGTGATGCCTCCAGCTGGACTTTTCTCATGGTAATTGTGGGTTTACTACTTCAGAGGACACATGGTACAGGAACTAAAATGCTATGCACAGTATTGGTTTTGTTTGTATCAACTTGTGGCCTGATTTTGAAAGAGAAAAACACAAAAGGGTTTTGTACTTTGTCATTTTGAGTATCAAGAAACCTGTAATAATAATACTTAGTTTGTACTTTTGATTCTGAGATAGAATCTGGTTCGCAGGGGAAAAGATTACTGTTGTTTTGCTTTCTTTTCTAAAACACATGCTATGCAATTTTGTGAAAGTAGCAGGAGAACAGAATTTAAAGCTAATGAAGGGCCATAGGATCATTTGACTCAATATCCCTGCTATGGCAGTATGTGTGGTTAATGGGGAGCAAGAATTAAGTGGTGACACTTCAGCAGTAAGAGAACTCTGAGACAGCATCGTGGCAGCTGGTTAAACTCTCTGTGAATATAGACTGAAGCAAAACTGATTCTTCATATGAGAAGCTGTGCTGCCTCAAAGGTTACACTTCTGCATCTCAGAAGTCATTGGTACTGAATACAATATTGAGACCTAAATTATTGGGAGTGCATCTTTCCCTGTAGTCTGACATGCATGTATCATGTGAGTGGTACTATTTTCTTTTAGGAAGTCTTTATAGTCACCTTTTAATTACAAGAAAATAAAATATTAAAAGAAGAAGATTTTAAAATTGATTTATAGACAAACTAAAAATATCTATATTATAAATGTTTTAAACTCTGAGAGACTGTCTTGTTCATTTAGGTGTGTGGGAAAATGAGAACTTTGATAGTATTATAATAATTCAATTTTTGAAGAAGTTTTTGCAGTATTCTGAAATTTAGTCAGCTGCAGGACTGTTTAATGCCTCCTTGGTAAAGTAAGTATTCCCTCAACTCAAGTAAAATAATTGATGTTTTACAAGGCTGAGTTATATTTCCATACCTGCAATGTAGGGGACACACTGTACACCAGGAGCTTGCATTCTGGCTGATTTTATCTCACTATCCCTTCTGTGGCACAGTGTCAAACCAGAGCAGGGATTGGTACCTAGGACCCTAAACCAGCAGAACTTCATGGCACTACCTAATAAATTGAATGGGTTCACCTACTCAGTGACTGCTTGCATGGTTCATCCCTCCCTTCCTTGCTGCATTACCCACCAAGAGCTTGAATCCCAGGAATCTGCTGTTTCTCCTGTGGTCAGGTGCACTGTCCTTCATCTCAGGTGGCCTCACTTTTGGTGGTTTGCTTACCAGTTCCTGGAGGCATCCAGGACAGTTCTTGTGATTGTTGCCTTTTGGTACTGGACAGTGCAGTCGAGTCCTGTTTCTTCAGCAAAGCAGTGACTTCATACCGTGCCAAAATTGGAGTCTGTGCTTTGAACCTCTGGGGGTTCAGCTTTACAGGATGTGTCCTTTCGACTCGTAAATCTTGAGTCAGGATGAATGTTTGTTTTAGAATGGAAGGTTTGGGTTCAAGGCAGGCACACGCAAGTGAAAATAACTACAAATTTTAGGAACCTATGGAATGCTTTTATATTTTGAATATTTTGTTTAGATGCAATTTGGAACATTTTGTTTATTGTTTTCAGTGTAATTTTATAGGTGAAGGCTTGTTCTAAAAGTGGAACACAAAGCATAGAGACTTTTCTGAGGAAAACTGAAATCAGAGGTGGACCAAAGTTACTGTTTCCTAATTAATGGGAAATTCTGACATTTTAAAATTTCTCTTGTGTTGGGGAATTCCCTGAGACTTTTCTCTGGAAATATTAGAATTTAATTTGGAGCCAAGCACCTTATGATTAAGCTCAGACCAGTGCTCAAAGGACTACTGGGTTGTCAAGCCTACCAGGCTCCCCAGTGCCTATCAGGGACCTTGGAAATTTGCCCAGGTCTTCAACTGTGGGAGTAGAAGTTCTGATAATGTTCTTGTTATCAGAACTTCAAGGCTTCCATCTGGAGACCCAGGAACTTGAGACCTAAACTGAAGAAGGCCCTCCCAGGCCTCTCTACTGTTAATCTGGACATCAAGACCCAGTTGAGTCCGAAATGCTGTGGGCTCTCAAGCTACCGTGTGTGAGATGGGAAGCTCAGGAGCCTCTGTGTCCAGGGCTTGCTGCCATGGAGTTCTCAGGCCTTAAATGCCAGGACTGTATGCCTGGGAGTGCTGTCTCTGACTGTATACCTGGGAGGACAGTTCTCCTTGGTAGTTCACTTGTCAAACAGCTTCCCAAGAGGATGAGTGATTCAGTTAGGTATTTCACAGAGCATTTGGGGTTGGATGGATTGACACATCATGATGATGTTAAATTTTTGTTTCTTTTTGAGTGCAGTACGTGGGCATGTCCCTGGAGTGTTGGAGCCCGTGTGGGGGCAGTGAATATCTTGGGGCCGATGGCTGATGATGACAGAGCAGTGCCAGCCCTGCTCCGCTGGGACAAAGTGCTGCTTGCAGCTGGGCAGGCCCACCTTTGAGAGGAGCTCAGTGGGTGGTGTTCCAGTTTCTCTGAATAAGTTATTCACGCCATTTTGCAGTCATTAGCAGAGGCTTTGAAATTAGGCTGTCCTAACTTTCCTGAAGGAAGACCCTTCCAAGAGTGAAGGGATGGAAGTATGAGAGAAGCCTATTTTGCTGCTGTCCTGTTTGTTCAACTTGGAGTTCAGTGAAAAGCAATTGTGTAAAGCTGTGCTAATGGAAACTGCGCTAATGCCATATTTGGAGCTTTGTAACTCTTGGCAGTTAACTTAAAAGAAGGAATATTGGTTATTTTTTAAATAGCCAATTGACAGAATAGATTTTATCCTATGGCAAAAGCTAACATTTCTGCATTTAAATGGGAAGCATACTTCTGTAGTCTTGTTCATGCCATCTGGGAGGTGTATATACACAGCTGAATCTTGCAGTGAAAACACCAGTGGTGCTTTTATAGTAATGGAGAGGATACAAGAGTTATGTATTTTTGTCTTCATTCTGTGAATGAGCAGTTTTAAGAAGTACGAAGTCTGGTTAGCACCTTCTTTGTTGGGATAGAGTCTTTAAAGAGTGGTTTTCACAGAGAATAAACACCATGATAATGTACAGCAGCCTCTTGTCCTCTTTATAGGAGAATGTTATTTGCTAGATAGAAACATGCCAAATAAATCTACTCATTTTTGTAACTGTGACCTGTCATTCCAAATTCCTAGAACCGTAACCATGAGAACAGCTGACAGTTTGCTAGAGAAAAAGCAGTTCAGTTATTGCATTCAATGATACCAGTCCAGAAACTTTGGGGGATATTCATTAGTGAAGTCCTTTTGGTTTGGTTTCAATGATCTTCTTGATGTTTTTTTTCATAATATCAACTACCTTAAAATGGACAAGTGTATAGAAAGGCATGCATACTTAATAGGCAACTAACTAAATAAATTAATAAATACAGAATGAAAGTTTCAACCACTTTGTCTCAGGGGTGGGTTACATAAGCTAATGCAGTAGAATGTAATTGTTATTTTTAAATGAAGAATAGGAATGACGGGATGACATAAGGAAGACTGTTAATGGGATTTTAGCCTACTCTCCAAAGGAAGGAAAGCTTGTGTAATCACTCTATCAATTCAATTTCAACTGCTTTGGTAGGTTTCAGCCAAATTTAGCAGTGGCATAGGCATCTTAAAGTTTCTTCAAGAGCTCTATAAAGTTTCACAAAGGTCAGACTGGGTGGAAGAGAGGAAGCCAGAATAAGTGCATACTTTTTCTTCTCTGTGGGAGAAGGTGCCAGAGCAGATAAACAGCTGTCTTCTGTTTCTCTTGTTGACTGGAAAATTGGCATGTGCATACTGGCTAGTCCATAGGTGCTTCCATGCTGGATCCATGATAGTGTTTCCTCTCCTGAGGGTAATTAGGAGAAAGTATGGGAGGGATCATACAGTGCTGTGGGCTGGTGAGGTTAGGGAATGTGGAGACACTAGTTGAGGCACAGGGGTGAAAGGGAGGAAGTTGGGGAGGTGTGGAAATGTTAGCAAAGCTGCAGGGCTTTTGGAACAAGTTTATATATGACAGTGACAAGCTGTAAGTACTCTGGTAGGGGTGCAGGACAGTAGTCAAGGAGAAGCTAAGCTTCTCTAGTGTTCTGCTCACAAAACA